ACATAAAATAGATAAAATAATTGACACTCGTTATTCAAGTAACAGAAAAGAAGTATTAGTGAAGTGGAAAGGTTATCCAGATAAATTTAACAGTTGGATTTTAGCTTCTAGTTTAAAAGAAATATGAATAAAGAAAGTTTCTATTTAACTTTGCTCAGCAATAGTTCAATGGAATACTTTCCTGATAACAAGACCACAAATTTTTCAACGAAATTACCAAAAGCTATAAAATTAGAAGGTGAATGGTCGGTTGGAGTTGTCGAGTTTCAATATCCATGTACCATGTTTACTGTTCAAGACCATGAAAATGTTATATACATTACAAAATCTATGTTAATGCCTAATGAAGATAAGCCATCCACAGTGTACTACAAAAAACATATTCCAGCTACCAACTATGATAACGTTGAGCATATTTTAAGAGTGTTAAATGGTATCGGAGAGAACTTGAAATTTCGCTATGATGAAATAACAAAATTTGTGTCTATTTCGGTATTGGATAAAAATATAACATCCGTAACATTATCACCCAAATTAAGTTTACAGCTAGGTTATGAACCAAATAAAAATCTCCTAGAGAGAAATTTTGGAAAGTGTCCTGCTAATTTACACTTAGGGTTACCATCTCAACTATTTCTATATTGCGACATTATCGATCCTCAGATTGTGGGTGATGTTATGACTCCTTTATTAAGAGTCATTTCATTAGATCCTACAAAATACATTTATGGTGCAAATAAAATGCACGTTTTCTCTCAACCTCACTACTTACCTGTTATGCGAAGAGAGTTCGATACGTTGGAAATAGTTATAAGATCGAGTACAGGACAAAAAATACCATTCCAGTTTGGAACCGTGTGTATTAAACTACATTTCCGAAAATTATAATAATGAATTCTCTTCGTGATCATCATAAATGTCCATATGAAAATTATTATACACATCAAGCTGGATCAGGAGTTGGAGTAATTTATAAGGGTTCACCATATCAACGCGGTCATGGTATTGGGAGCTTCTTAGGGGGGTTATTCAGATCAGTTTTACCTTTACTTTCAAGTGGTGCTCGAGTGATTGGTAAGGAGGCATTAAGCGCTGGAGTAGGACTTTTATCGGATATGGTTCAAGCCCGTCCTATGGAAGCCTCAATAAAAGATCGTCTAAAGCAAGTTAGTACGAATTTAAAACGAAAGGCTGATGAGAAAATTGATCAATTTAACATGACTGGATCTGGGTATAAAACTAAAAGAAAACGATTGACATCGTTCATTCCACCATTAACTGCTAAAGTGAAAGCTGCGAAAAAACTTAGTCTAAAACCAAAAAATATCAAAGATATATTTTCAAACTAAATATGTCTTTCCTTCATAATCATTCTTGCGAGTGCGTTAAGTCAGAATTGGATTTGTTTGCACTACCGTCTACACAAACTAGCATTGAAAATGGATTGTGGATTCATTATAAACCAATTTCATCTCTTGGTGATGATGGACCTATCGAGTTTCAAGTTCCTGGGACCGGCGATGACTACATAGATTTGTCTCATACATTACTCCACATAAAGGCAAAAGTATTAAATCAAGATTCAACTAACTTGGTATCTACTACAATAGTAGCACCTGTAAATAATTGGCTGCATTCACTTTTTAGTCAACTTGATGTTTATTTAAACCAAAAACTTGTATCACCACCTAATAATACCTATGCATATCGAGCATACATGGAAACCCTTTTAAACTATGCCCCTGCTGCTAAACAATCTCATCTTACTTGTAGTCTTTGGTATGAGGATACAGCAGGAAAAATGGATTCTACAGATGGTAAAAACATAGGATTTGTTAAAAGACAGGAATTGATTAGTGAAAGTAAGGAAATAGAAATGATTGGTCATCTTCACGGTGACATTTTTAACCAAGATAAATTTTTAATTAATGGTGTTGAAATGAGTGTTAAATTGGTTCGATCAAGAGAGAGTTTTAATTTAATTGTTGGGTCGAACGATGTAAAGTTTAAAGTTTGCATTACGGACGCAACTCTTATTGTGCGACGAGCACGAATTAATCCAAGTGTATTACTCGCACATCAAAAAGTTTTAGCTTCTACCACTGCTAAATATCCTATTACTCGAGCTGAAGTAAAAGTTTTAACAATTCCTTCAGGTGTTCAAGGAAAAACTCTTGATAATATATTTTTAGGACAGGTACCGAAAAGATGTATAATTGGATTTGTGAACAATTCTGCATTTAATGGTTCCCTTACTAAAAATCCATTTAACTTTGAAAACTATGGTATTAATTCTTTCAGCTTATATATTGATGGTCAACAAATACCTTCAAAAGCTTTGCAACCATCTTTTAATAATAGCATATTTACATCAGCATATCATACTCTATTCTCGGGAACTGGTATACACTTTCTTAATGAAGGAAATGGAATCTCTTGTGAACAGTATGGCAAAGGTTACTGTCTATTAGCATTTGACTTAACTCCTGATTTATCAGCTAACTCATCAACTCATTGGAATCTCATAAAGCATGGTAGTGTAAGAATAGAAGTACGATTTGAATCCTCATTAATACAAACAATTAACTGTATAGTTTATGCTGAGTTTGATAATATTATTGAGATAGATAAAAACAGAAATGTTACTGTAGACTATAGTAGTTAAGGTTATAATATGTGTTGTGTGTTAGATTTTATGTGGTCTATGGCCAACGGTCGAATGGTTAACACGTACTTGTGAGTGCTTTTCGGTATTTGGTTAATTCTCCTTAATTTCCTTATTTTGTGGTGGTGGATTCCTCTGCTGTAAGTCTACGTTTATAAGTTATAGTTATTTCGAACATTAAACCCAATTATGGGTGACGAAACGGGGTCTCCTCGTGAGAAACCCCCTGACCCTCCCGATGAAGACATGTGCTTTGGAGTAAGTGACAATAATGATTGTGGCCGTGGTAAAAAAAGACACGCTGAGACTCGATCATTTGATCCAGTAATATATAAAAAGAATTCTGTAATTGATTTAACAGCGTCAATAAACACAATATATAAACATCCCTGCCTAGAACAAAATCTTAGAATGTATGGTCCAAACGACCAAGGCCCTTTTATTGTCCACATCTCCCGGGCTACGTCAGATCCTAGAATAGGGCTATCACTTCGTCCAATTAAAATAGGTTTATGCTTGTCTAAAAATAAAATAGAAAACATCAAAAGAGGGGGAGTCAAAAGCGTTGGCAGAAATCGCATCTCTATTGAATTCTGCTCAGCCGATGAGGCTAACAAATTTCTTAATAATCCAATGCTTGCAAAAGAAAAATTGATTGCAACTATTCCATCCTATAATGTTTCTCGAATGGGTGTCATCCGCGGTATCCCTGTGGATTGGTCAATGGAAGAACTAGCAGAAGCTGTTGAGCTTCCTCCTGGTTGTGGTAAAATCCTAAAAGCTCGCCGTCTTCAGAGAAAGACTTTTGCTGAAGGGTCAACATCCCCAATATGGGTTCCCACTCAATCTATTGTTCTGACATTTGAAGGCCAGTTACTCCCCAAATATATATATGCATTTTACACATCCCTTGCTGTTGAAACTTATCAACTCCCCTCCATCCAGTGCAAACACTGTTGTCGATTTGGCCACATAGCAGATCAATGCCGTTCTAAACCACGCTGCTTCCGTTGTGCCCAAGAGCATACTGGAGCAAGTTGTTCTGTTCCTGAAAGTGAAGCCACTTGTCTGTTATGCTCCAAAAATCATTTTGCTAATAACAAAAACTGTCCGGAACACCAAAGACAGATTTCTATCAAAGTTATGATGTCAGAACAAAATATATCCTATATAGAAGCTTCAGCCAAAATCCCATCTATCCGATTGAACAATCCTCAAAAACCGTATTCCGAAGTGGCCTCTACTCAGCTTTCACCTACTCCTACTACTTCCTTCAACCTCCCCACCATGTCACAGGCATATAGAAAAACCATCTTCAAACCTCCCCGCCCCATACCTAGAATTCCCATGGGGTATGACCAACAAGCTCATCAAAGAATAGTTGCAGACTGCCCATCCTCTACTCCAAATGGATGCGCTTTATCCAACACGCACAACCAAATATCTCCAAATGAAAATCTTGTTGAATGCCTAATTTCCCTCCTCAATAATTTAATTTTGAAAATGTCAGATTCACTACCGAACAACGTTGCAGAAAAAATCTTTAATTTAGCTAGTTTAATAGATAATATAAATGACTCAAACAAAAGACCTCCATCTCCTTCAATGGAACTGTAGAAGCTTGCAACCTAAAAAATCTGAACTCATCTTCCTAATAAATAAACATTCAATTTCTGTTGCTTCAATTTCAGAAACATGGTTCCTACCTAACTCCAAATTTCGCTTGCAAGGCTTTACTTGCCTCCGTGAAGATAGAAATGATGGTTATGGTGGTTGTTGCTTACTCATAAAAAAATCCATACCCTTCTCTCAAATTGCACTCCCTCCTCATAGCCAACACATTAATGCCGTAGCTGCAAAAATTGCAGGAATCAACATTATTTCAATATATATCCCTCATCCAAATTCCCACTTAATTCAAGAACTATCCTCTCTCTTCTCTTTGTTACCTCCCCCTTTTATTATTACCGGTGATTTTAATTCACATCATGTATCTTGGGGGTCACATTTTTGTGACATATACTCTTCAGAACTTATACAAATTTTTGAAGACATTAATGCTTGCATTATCAACAATGGTTCCCCCACTCATAGAGTATACCCAGGACTAGACCCTAGGTCTGCTGTCGACCTAACAGCTTGTTCTCCTAGTCTAGCCCCTCAGCTTTCTTGGAAAACCCTCAATCAATCATATGGAAGTGATCACTTTCCCATTCTTATTACCAAACCCAATGCGGTTATTCCTTTACCCTTTACTATGCCCCTCCTTAAATATAAGCTCCAAGACGCAGATTGGACTAATTTCACTAAATTTTTAGATACTAAATTTGCGCAAATGCAGGTTGACTTCTCAACCAACCCAATAACTTCGTACTCTCTATTGGTACAATATATAACTGAAGCAGCTGACTTATTTATCCCATCCAAAAAACCCCACAGCAAGAACCTATCCTCCCCTCCATGGTGGGATGCTGAGTGCACCACTATGATTAAAAGGAGAAAAGCTGCAGAAAAGCTTTATAATCACTGTATGACAACCGATAATTTTATACAATTTCAAAAAACCTCCGCTCAAACAAGGAGACTACTTTCCAAAAAGAAAAAAAATGGATGGAAAAAATTCTGTGAATCCTTGTCCCCTAATTCACCAGTAACAATAGTTTGGAAAAATATAAAAAAATTTCGTGGCTCCCTTCTTTCTGATTCCAACATTTCTGATAACTCTTTACCATGGTTAGAAGTCTTCTCTGATATGTTAGCTCCTCCTTTTGTCCCTAATGAATATACAATATGCCCACCCATTCCAGTCCCGTCTTACATCAACAATAATGAGATAATCTTCTCATTGTCCGAATTACAGTCTGTGCTATCTGGCTTAAAATCCTCTTCTCCAGGAGAAGATGGCATACCCTATGCGTGTTTATGTAAATTAAGCCTTAAAGGTAAATTAATTCTTCTCCAAATTCTGAACAATATCTACATATCATCTAATATTCCTCTGTCTTGGTCAAACCAAATTGTTATACCTATCCTTAAACCCGGAAAAGATCCCAAAGAAGCTTCTTCCTACCGCCCAATCGCACTCTCATCTACTTTTTGCAAAATTTTAGAACATTTAATTAAAAACAGACTTGAATGGTTTCTGGAACATAATAACATCCTTGCAAAAAGTCAATTTGGTTTTCGTAAAGGTAAAAGCACTTTAGATAGTTTGAGCATCCTAACTACAGATATTAGGTTGGCCTTTTCTAAAAATGAATACTTGGTGGGTTGTTTCCTGGACATATCATCTGCCTATGACAGTGTTCTTCTTCCAGTGCTCAGGCAGAAAATGCTTCATCTGAACATCCCTGCGAAGACTGTACACTTCATTTACAATCTGTTCATGGGACGATCTATCAAAATTCGCAATAAAGGAATGTTAACCTCGCCCAGAACAATCTGGAAGGGTCTACCACAGGGCTCGGTCTTAAGCCCTATTCTTTACAATATCTACATATATGACCTTGAACATTCGATTTCATCTTTCTGTGACATATTACAATATGCAGATGATCTTGCTATCTATGTAACAGCTCCTGATATCCTAACTGCCTCCCATCATCTTAACAGAGGCTTATATTATCTTAATCAATGGCTTACTGACCATGGCCTCTCTCTTTCAGCTTCTAAAAGCAAAACAATAACCTTTAGTAGAAAACGTGTTTTCCCTACTATTGATATCTCATATAATGGTGAATCTATTCCAGTTGTTAACAAAGTAAAATTTTTAGGTATTTTCTTAGATTGTCATATGACTGGTACTGCTCACTTTAATTACATCTGTGACAAATGTGAGAAAGGTGTTAATATTCTTAGATCCCTTTCAGGCGTATGGTGGGGTTCTCACCCCATGTGTCAAAAAATCCTATACAATGCCATCATCCGCAGTCACTTCGACTATGGCTCTTTTCTTTTGGAGCCCTGCAACAAATCGGCCCTTAATAGACTTGATGTTATCCAAGCAAGATGTTTACGTATTATCACAGGCGCAATGAAATCAACTCCTAAAAATGCTTTACAAGTAGAATGTGCTGATCCCCCTCTCTCTTTACGAAGACAGTTTCTAGCTGATAGATTTCTCTCAAAAACTCTACAACTATCATCTCACCCCTTACATCGTAAACTAGAATCCTTGCTACTATTAGCTGTAAACAACTCCTACTGGTTTAATAAAAGCTGGCCCCCTATTCTTAAATCTCTAAATAGATTAAAAAATATTGGTTATCCTTGTGTAACATCCCTAATTCTACCCTATTTTGAAACCAGCTATGAAGCTATATTAATAAACCCTAAAATCACTCTGAATTTAAACATTAATAAAAATTCCCCCACTGCAAACAGAACTTTCTACAACCTTGTGGCAAAAAAATGGTCTGATTGGCTATATATTTTTACTGATGCTTCCAAATTGTCTCCATTCAAATGTGTCGGTTCCGCAGTCTGGATCCCCAAATACAAAATTGTCCTTAATTATAGATGTCCTCCTCAAGCTTCTGTTTTTACTGGGGAAGCTGTAGCCATATATGAGGCTATTTCCTATATTCTTTCCCATAAAATTCCTAAGTCAGTTATATTTACTGATTCAAAAAGCTGCCTAATGTCATTACAGAGCAATATATTTAAAATGAATTCCATCTCCCCATTAATACTGAAAATTAAGGAACTCATACTAAATTGTAATAAGAGTGGGCTTGATGTGGAGATTGTGTGGATTCCTAGTCATTGTGGTATAGAAGGAAATGAACAGGCTGACTCTTGGGCCAAAGGAGCTGTTGATACTGGCTGTCCTTCTCATTTAATGATTTACTCTCATGATCTAATGTCATTAGCTCAAATTGAATTAAAGAACTCTTGGAACAGAGAATGGAGCACATCCAGACATATTAAAGGTTGTCACTTTGGTAAAATTCAACCCCAAATCCCTCCAAAACCTTGGTTCTTTAAATTTAGCTTTTTGAACAAACAAATCACATCTACAATCTGCCGTTTAAGGCTTGGGCATGCCTGCACTCCTGTATTTCTAGCTAAAATTAGAATCAAAGATCATTCCCTCTGTGAATGTGGACTGGATGAAGGTACCCCAGACCACATTTTCTTTAATTGCCAAAATCACCCAATTTCTTTATATGACATTCTTCCCAACACAATCCCTCGACCAATGAATATCAATTCCCTCTTAACTATCCCCAATTCCATATATGTCAATATGATCTCAAAATATATTCAAATGTATAATATTAAACTCTAATTATCGTGTACTAAATTTAGCTTAAACTAATTCTCTATTCCCTGCCCAGGCTAATTCTCTCCTATAACTAGATGTTTGCTCTATATTGTGTGGTCCATAATTTATGTATTTAGATGCTTTGTTTTTATCCATATTTTCACCTAATAACCGCTAACTCCTTTTCCACCGAAAAGCCTAAAGACAAGGTGCGACAGACCAAGGACCGGACATTGGCAGAATTATTGTGACATAATCACAATACCAAGGGCCAAATAGACCAAATAATAATAATAATAGATTTTATGTGTTATGTGTAATGCATTTTGTGTGTATGTAACTATGTGAAACGTTATAAAATTAAATAAAACAAATTGTATGCAATATATTTTTTTTATTTCTTTATAAATCTTCTATTTAATCTAATACAAAACACTGTTCGAGTTGAAATTTTACATAAGCACACTGACTAAACCACTGAACATGCTGCTGCCAAGGATCATCATCATCTTCCCAATCTTTTAAACCACCACCACAATGGAAACACTTGGTCCCGTCTGCATGGCCAGTATAAAAGAAACCAGCTTCGGCAAGATCTTCAGGTTTCTGTCGCATAACTAGAGGCCAGTTTTCGAAACTAAGCAAACGGCTAGATTTTGAACTGAAGAATGGATATTCAGCTCTTGAGTACTGCATACTCTTCTCGTTTTCTTCTCCACTCAGTGTTGTAGTTTTGTTATTCAATGATGTGTTTTGTACACGTATGCCACACTCATCTCTTCCTTCCGCTCTTGTCTTCCTGTAATTGAAGTAAACAGAATCACATTCACTAATGATCAGCTAATGACTGTCATTGTTAAAAAAGTATTTTTTAACTTTTTCACTTTCTGCTATTGTCTTTGTTATATTGTATACGAGGGCGTTTGTGTTGTCGTAGATGCTATCCTTATTAGTCTTTACGTAATATTTAATTCTAGTGGAAGCATGTTTCCAATGATCAGTAGTTGGAATCTTGGATAGCTTCTTCATATCGTACATTTCAATTTTGATGAGATGCGTCGCTTAGTCTCCGTCGTCAGAATTAGTAGAAATGTATGATACACCATCTCTAGCGGCTCGTGCTACGGTTGATGATAACAGCTTCCTCTTTTTTATTTTTGATTCAGCTTCAAAAAAATGATCAATCGATTGCGATTTTCTTTTTCCACCATCGCATGTGTTATTATTAATGACGAGGTTATCACTCTCTTCTTGAGGGGAGAGTGGCGAGTAGTAATACTGTTTATAGGTATCTTCATCGAAGCTCAATGATTTCTGCAACAACACAGTTATCATGTTAATATCAATTTGTTAACACTTAATCATAAAAGTTAAAAAAGTTAAAGTTACAGCCTATTAAAGTCCACTGCTGAACATAGGCCTCCTCTCATTTCTGAGAGGGTTTTAGAGCAAGGAAATGTCCGCCGCGCTCCCTCAATGTGTGTTGGTGAACTTTACATGCCTTCGAAATTTTCTCAGACATGCAGGTTTCCTCACGATGTTTTCCTTCACCACCAAGCACGTGGTAATAAGCACTTAAAATTGCTATTAACAATTTAATTGGTGCTGGCGGGGATCGAACCCGGGTCGCGTACTGTGAAATTTACAGCTAGCGCTAACCATCTGAGTTACCACGGCTTAATCATATACATACACAATATTTAAATAAAATAATACACACACACATGAAAATAACAGAAAAAAAGTAATTTAGTCAATAGAATAAACACTTACATCCATAGCCTTTGGTGTATTGAAGTAACACAAATGTACTATTGATAGATCCACTGTAGCCAAACGACCGTACACTAACTCGATGACTGCGTTTGTTGGTCTTATATACCACCAGTACGTAAAAATTCTAATCTAAAGTATTTCCGTAATGAGTTGATAATTACTTTATGCGTCAACCAGTTTTATCTCACATTTCCGTTGCCTATCTCAACATTTCTTCGTATTGTGTTTTGTTTGGTGATCAATGACTCAAGTACGATTTGTATAACACAAAAATGCAATTTAATATTTAGAAACATATCAGTTTATCTCACATTTCCGTTGCCTATCTCAACATTTCTTCGTATTGTGTTTTGTTTGGTGATCAATGACTCAAGTACGATTTGTATATCACAAAAATGCAATTTAATATGTAGAAATCACTATAATTGACCATTCCTATGTTATTCATTGAGTAGCTAGGTACTGTAATAATCTACTAATAGCAGTAATATCATGGATACACTAGATGTACAACAACATCTGAAAAAGATTCACCCCAGTCTAGAAAATAATGTTTATGCAGCTAATAGACTGCCTATGTATACCCACGTACCAACGTATATAATATGTAATTTGGATACAGATGATAAACCAGGGTCACATTGGATAGCTTTATATATCGATACGAATGACGTCGGTCAATATTTTGATTCATATGGACGATCACCTGTACGATATCATCTAGAGTTTTTAAAAAGGAATTGTAAAAGATGGAACTGGAATGTTGATAGGATTCAGAATGAGTGGACTTCAGTTTGTGGCGAATATTGCTTAATGTATTTACTATATAAGTTTCAAGGATGTTCAATACATAGTTTTACGAGTATATTTACAAGGAACACATTGTACAACGATATTTTAGTGGATGAGATGTTTCGCTCCTATTTTATAGATAATAATTAATAAGATTTTGTATTTTATAAATAAAAATTGTAACAAAATTATGTAATGTGTTTTATTGATGATTCAGATTAGCGTTGTATAAACAAAGAATTATAATAAACAATAGCACTGATATAGTCGACGCACACGCTGCAATGAGGGTGATTAATGAAGGAACACATTGTACAACGATATTTTAGTGGATGAGATGTTTCGCTCCTATTTTATAGATAATAATTAATAAGATTTTGTATTTTATAAATAAAAATTGTAACAAAATTATGTAATGTGTTTTATTGATGATTCAGATTAGCGTTGTATAAACAAAGAATTATAATAAACAATAGCACTGATATAGTCGACGCACACGCTGCAATGAGGGTGATTAATGAACAATAGAACAATAGAAATAGGAAGAATGGGACGCTAATGACGGTGGAGGCCCTTACCGGATATCAATTAGATATTAGCTAATTGATCTACACATCTCCGGAACCGTGCATTCTACACAAAAATGGACCGCGGATTCGTGATCAGAGCATGCCAAAACCTTTTTTTTTTTTTTTTTTTTTTTTTTTAGGATCGGGCGTCGACGAACGTCGTTGAACCACGTCTGACTCAGGTGGTCTAGAAGTGGTACAACTACACTACTTGCATATAGTAAAAAAGTGTTAGCTAACCGAAAAAAGTGGTAACTGAAAATTCGCAGTTACATATAGTAAAAATGTATTAGCTAGCCAAAAAAAGTGGTAACGGAAAATTCGCCGTTACATTTAGTGAAAAGTGTTAGCTAGACGGAAAAGGTGGTAACTGATATTCGCAGTTACACAAGTGATAAAATCAACTAGTTTTAGTTGATTAATAGCTGCTAGTCAGTAGTGTTAGAAAACCAGCTACTACCAATAGATATTTTGATACTACCAATAGATATTTGATACTACCAATAGATATTTTGATACTACCAATAGATATTTTAATACCAATAGAAATTTTAATACTACCGCGCATTTTAATTAAATCTGTTAAAATATATAGTGACCAACCAATAGTGAACAACCGTAGTTGAACAACCGTGTTCAACAACCGTGGGTCAATAAATAATAGTTATAAAATTTCGCGACTAATCACTCAGTCGAACCGCTGGCCACTCCCTTGTTATTTTAATTTATAAATCGTGCATTTTAATTTTGAACCTCAGTCCACAGTTTTCCAGCAGCACACACAGCGACGGCAGTGAAAGTATCCTCCGGAACCTATAGGTGTAGGACGTGAGCGACTCGCGGAGTATCTTCAACAACATTTACTCCGGAGAGTTACGCCCGTCCGGCACATTCGCTGGTCCTTCGAGACGGATTCTTCATCCGTTTGTATTTCGGAACCGGATACATAGTCACTACCGTATTAAAGCTGCTGAATTTTCAGAATCAAGATGCCGCTCACTCGTTCGCAAGGAAGGGGAGCCATGGCGTGGACCGTCGGTCTGGAAGGAGGCCCGTCGGACAATACCGACGCCGTCCGCCACCAGATGCCACCACGCTCACCGTCAACAACAGAGGGCGCTGAGGCGCCATCTTGCCCCCGCGAAGGGGGGGGTACTCCTGGCCGTTCCGGTCACTCCAACCGGGACACTGAAGCAGAGGGAACAAATAGAAGGCAACGATGACATTCGCAGTGCATCACCGTCAACAGCCCGGGAAGACTCCCGCGCCGACGAGCCACCGAGGGGCCACACCGATAGAAGTACAAAGTCAAAGAAGATTATTCGGCCCAATAGAAAAGTTTTGAAGGCTCGTGAAGAAGTGTTGAGAATAAAATTGGAACTCGCACAGATTTCCTTACAGATGGCTGAGGAAGAATATGAATCGGACGACTATGATGAAGATGGTCACTCCAAAAGTGAGTACGTCCGATCTTGGCTCGAGAATTCCGTAGCCAAGCAAAAGCCAACTCAAGGCGCCACCACTGGAGGGGAGGCCCCACTTAATAAAACCGTCACAAAGCCACCCCCGGAGGTTGTCGACCTCAGTGAGTCGCAGAAGAAGCTCACAAACCAGGATTCGAAGGTTGATGAAGACAGAGAGCTCTGACCATTTATATCGGAGCTCACATCCGCTATAGCCGCACTCGCTGACAAACCAAAACCAGAGAGTGCATCACTATCGTCGCATACTTTCGCAGCGTCGAAAGCTATAATGACACTGCCGAGCTTTAGCGGAGCACATACCGAATGGCTTTCGTTCCGTGCCATTTACGAAACAACCCGAGGCTACTTCAATGATATCGAAAATACTGCAAGACTACGAAGAAGTCTACAAGGAAGAGCCTTG